ATTTGGCGCATCATAAAGAGGAAGATGCGACAAAGAAGACCTAAGACAGTTGAGCAACTGGAAGCCTGTATTAGACAAGAATGGGACAACATTCCTATTCCTAAACTTGAGCAACTTGTCTCCTCAGTCCCCAGACAGTTGCAGACTGTGATAAAAAGAAGAGGGGATTCCACACAGTGGTGAACATGGCCTTGTCCCAACTTTTTTGAGATGTGTGGATGCCATGAAATTTAAAATCACCTTATTTTTCCCTTAAAATTATGCATTTTCTCAGTTTGAGTATTTGATGTGTCATCTATGTTGTATTCTCAATAAAATATTGAAATTTGAAACTTCCACATCATTGCATTCTGTTTTTTATTCACATTTTGTACAGTGTCCCAACTTTTTTGTAATCGGGTTTGTATTAGAGACATAAAAGCTTTGGAAAAGATTGTATTGTAACATACCTGGCTTCGGTCCCTTTTTCCAACAGGCAGCCAAAAACTAGGAGATGATCAAAGTTTCATTATGGGGCACAAAATGCAGATGGAAAGAAATGGACTTAATACAACATGAGTTCTTATACTGCTGCTTTTTAAGAGTGTGAAACAGTATTTCTTACTCTCTCTGATAAGGATCTTGAGAGAAGTGTTTCAGTCTCTCTACAAACACGGGCGCACTGTTGCCCTGTTCAACACAAATCAAACATGCAGAATAAGAAACAGGCATTAAAACTTTCAGCCTACTGAAAAAGAAAATCTAAGTTTGCTTTGACCTTGCCAGGAAGCCTCCTCCTGTCCTTTCTAATGCAGCAGGCAGCGGAGCCAGGCACTTGTTTAAGATGTGAATAATATCCTGCAACAGGACAAAACACAGTATTTACCCTCCTATTTACCCTCCTGTGTTGCAAAATGATCATTAAATGTAAGTAATGTTTAAATAGAATATGAATCAAAATCCAATACGATTTATATTCAGTAGAGATCAAAAATACAGTGCCTTGCGAAAGTATTCGGCCCCCTTGAACTTTGCGACCTTTTGCCACATTTCAGGCTTCAAACATAAAGATATAAAACTGTAATTTTTTGTGAAGAATCAACAACAAGTGGGACACAATCATGAAGTGGAACGAAATTTATTGGATATTTCAAACGTTTTTAACAAATAAAAAACTGAAAAACTGGGCGTGCAAAATTATTCAGCCCCCTTAAGTTAATACTTTGTAGCGCCACCTTTTGCTGCGATTACAGCTGTAAGTCGCTTGGGGTATGTCTCTATCAGTTTTGCACATCGAGAGACGGAAATTTTTGCCCATTCCTCCTTGCAAAACAGCTCAAGCTCAGTGAGGTTGGATGGAGAGCATTTGTGAACAGCAGTTTTCAGTTCTTTCCACAGATTCTCGATTGGATTCAGGTCTGGACTTTGACTTGGCCATTCTAACACCTGGATATGTTTATTTGTGAACCATTCCATTGTAGATTTTGCTTTATGTTTTGGATCATTGTCTTGTTGGAAGACAAATCTCCGTCCCAGTCTCAGGTCTTTTGCAGACTCCATCAGGTTTCCTTCCAGAATGGTCCTGTATTTGGCTCCATCCATCTTCCCATCAATTTTAACCATCTTCCCTGTCCCTGCTGAAGAAAAGCAGGCCCAAACCACGATGCTGCCACCACCATGTTTGACAGTGGGGATGGTGTGTTCAGGGTGATGAGCTGTGTTGCTTTTACGCCAAACATAACGTTTTGCATTGTTGCCAAAAAGTTCGATTTTGGTTTCATCTGACCAGAGCACCTTCTTCCACATGTTTGGTGCGTCTCCCAGGTGGCTTGTGGCAAACTTTAAACGACACTTTTTATGGATATCTTTAAGAAATGGCTTTCTTCTTGCCACTCTTCCATAAAGGCCAGATTTGTGCAGTATACGACTGATTGTTGTCCTATGGACAGAGTCTCCCACCTCAGCTGTAGATCTCTGCAGTTCATCCAGAGTGATCATGGGCCTCTTGGCTGCATCTCTGATCAGTCTTCTCCTTGTATGAGCTGAAAGTTTAGAGGGACGGCCAGGTCTTGGTAGATTTGCAGTGGTCTGATACTCCTTCCATTTCAATATTATCGCTTGCACAGTGCTCCTTGGGATGTTTAAAGCTTGGGAAATCTTTTTGTATCCAAATCCGGCTTTAAACTTCTCCACAACAGTATCTCGGACCTGCCTGGTGTGTTCCTTGTTCTTCATGATGCTCTCTGCGCTTTAAACAGACCTCTGAGACTATCACAGTGCAGGTGCATTTATACGGAGACTTGATTACACACAGGTGGATTCTATTTATCATCATTAGTCATTTAGGTCAACATTGGATCATTCAGAGATCCTCACTGAACTTCTGGAGAGAGTTTGCTGCACTGAAAGTAAAGGGGCTGAATAATTTTGCACGCCCAATTATTCAGTTTTTTATTTGTTAAAAAAGTTTGAAATATCCAATAAATTTCATTCCACTTCATGATTGTGTCCCACTTGTTGTTGATTCTTCACAAAAAATTACAGTTTTATATCTTTATGTTTGAAGCCTGAAATGTGGCAAAAGGTCGCAAAGTTCAAGGGGGCCGAATACTTTCGCAAGGCACTGTAAAAATTACTGCAGGTAGTGCAATGTAGGCCTAACTTCACAAAGGTTTATTCAGCTACTGTACAATGCTGACAAAATACTAAAGTACAGCTAAAGCTTATATATGTAAGGCTCCTGACAAAGGATCTCCCAGTTCTCCCTTGACTTTTTTGAACCCACAAACAGTGACAAGACCAGTGCCAGCTGACCTGAGAAGTCAGCTGGCATAAAAGGCAAAATCATTCCTCACAACCTCTCTGAGAGGGCCGTGCAGGTTGCAGGAATGTAGGAGGTGGGTGGTTATCCTTGAGGGAAAGCTGGTTGTCTGAATCCCATTTAGGCAGCAAGCTGGCCACACCCGTTCCGACTCCACAGTCCCCCTCGAAAAACCAGTCACTCTGCTCGTCATCGCCTACACATACAGACAGGGAAAATGTTGCATTGATTAGCACGTGATGCATATTTCTAGCATCGTTTTACCGAACCTAGTTTATTAAAATTTCCAATATCAAAACCTCCAAAATAATGCAATAGTACCCAATCTGCTTTAAACTAGAACAACCACCTAATACGTGACAAACAGGAAGTAGTTCATACTGTTGCAGTAGTCAAATGCAGTTTTAACTGCATATAAAGTAAAATAAAGATGGAAATCGGAGGTAAATAGCTTTGAATTCACTGTGACTGAGTGGCTATAAAAGATTTGTATAATGCTGCCTGAAGTTTCATTTGACATTATATTCAGGCTTTTATCTCTAAAACGAATCATAGTTTGGAAGAGGCTAAGCTGTTGCTACTGCAAACTTCAGTGGCGCTTCAACTAGCTTAAGAATCAATAATGAGTCAAATTGTATCTTACACTGCTCTTTTAAATTCACACTAAGACAACTGGAAAACACCAGTCTTGTCCCCAGACGGCGAGCTCTCCTCAGATCTGTCAGTCAGCGAAGCACATGCAGGAACCATGCCTCTCACAGTCAAGGTGTAGTGACAACTGTTAAATCAGAGGCCGCCTGGCCCCACCACGGCTAATGAGATTAGCAAAGGCTTGAGCGCTCATTAACACGACATGACAACGTCTTATTAGAGTCGCCTGGGTGCCCAGCAACCAGCCCATTGTATCAAAACCTCCCTGTCTATCCCCAGCATCCTCACAGTCGAGGAGGGTGTTGTTCAAATTTTATCTTTTTTACATGATAAAGGAAGCGTCGCCTGTGAGTTTCTAATACTCAAATTGGCTGTTTATTTAATAGCTTTCATTACAGTAAGCAATGGAGCTGTTGCACTCTATGTTAAAATATTAGTTTTTTTTAATACCTTGTCTTCCTTCATCATTTGTGAAAAGGCCAGGGTCACTGCTGCATGTACTGCTGGTTTCTCTGCAAAGGAAAAGGGAAAACCGTCACATGTGAATGAGCACAGCTGATCTGTTTCTTTAATATCAGTGACATCTGAGGATGAAGAACTCTGTTCTGATTTGTCATCTCCAACCTGATGGGTTCTTTAGGTCAGACAATGTTACAGCATCTGAAAAGTGAACAATGTAAATCAAAAATTTACATGCCCATGTAATGTCAATATTTAACATGTAGCATTCAATAAGAAAAATAATGAAGGAGTCCAGAGCTAGAGGTCGATATAAATGGAAATGACACAAAAAGACAGAGCATGCTGTTCCCCCTTGTTGCGACAGCAAACACAAAGGCATGAGGAGGGACTCTGATTGAAGCCACTGAGTGACATGCACAATCTAATTGAATATCCTCCGCTGTCAGCTCCAATCTAATCTGGCCTGCGTTGCGGAGGATGACAGGAGAGCGAAACACATTCCCCTGCCCGCCCCTCCCTCTGGGTGTGCCCCACACACAGAGCAACCCACAGACGTGCCGCTTCCACACAACTGGCCAGCATCTGCTGTGTGGGCTGCCGCTGCTTACTGCCTCGACTGCTCCAGTGCCTCTCCTCTCCACACCCCCAGGGTAAACCCGTTACACTTCCTCCACACCCTCTGTGACCCCACCGCCCATCCAGACCACCCTGGGTTTCTCTGCCTTTCTCACACCTCAGCTACCTTGGACCAGGACCTCCAGACACTCCAAGGTCATGGGGGGGAGGGTTTCAAATCAGGGGTAGAAGTGAT